TGATAAAAGAGTCTGGACTTAAATTGACAAAGATGCTTGGACACATGTGGATGAATGAAAGGAATAAAATCCCTTGAAGATGAGCGAAAGTGAGGTTGATCAGAGTAGAGTGCTTGGCATTATGGTCTGTAGGGTGGGGTCGGGGGAAGATTCAAATGTTCACTTGACTCGTTAATACGCTTAAACGATGTTGATCGTCATTGGAGATTGGGCCTGATGGCCGAAAAAATCCATGCATCCCCAGCTGGACCACGAAGTGCATGCTGCCAACGCGAGTGAGGACGAGCCTCCGGTACGCAAAACAGCAACTAACATCTTTATTTAGCATTTTAGCAGCCTGACTAGCACATAAATGTACCAATTTCCACTTTTTTGTATGTTGCACTGCTAGCGACACTGCCCGCTATGGATAGGGGAAAATGCCAGACTTTTGTAGCTACATTCACTTCATAATATGCTGACCTTAAATTGATTATGCAACATTTGCGACCTCGCCTCATCATCCTGTCACCGTCTTCTGGGGAACTCGAACTGCCTACGTGCGGGTCAAGAGGCAGAACTGATCTCCTCAAAGGCTAAACGACCCTTGTCTCCTAATTTCACACAATTCAATCCCGTCGAGATTACCAAAAGACACATTATTCCCTTCATTTCGTAATGGACGAAGTGGCACAACCCGTCAAAACTGGTAAATCTCTGCGACCAAACAATAAAGTGTTATATTTTTATGCATCCCCTTGGCAGGACGGAGCGATCCCTCTGCATCACGCCATAAGAACGGGCAATCTAAACACCGTCAGGTGCCTCCTACAAGCAGAAACACGCTCGCAGCTGTCTGTCAAACTAAAGGTGAGTTGCATCAGATCATTTTTAGGAGTTTGGGAGTGATAAACCATTTTGGCTCGGGTAGGGATATCGGCTAATTTGTTGGCCCCGAGAGCACGTAGACCATCAGAGCTGGGGCTTTGGGATCGTCGGTGGCAAAAGACATTTTAAGCCCATTTCTTCACATCGACTCTGCAGATGGCAGAAATCCTAGTCCTAGTTTACATGGTACCTGGTCATGTAGGAGTTTGGCAGAAATCAGCCAGGAGCTCTACCGATGGCTGCGAAATCTCAACTGCCAGCTGCCACTGCTTGAAAGCAAATCTACGGAACTTCCGAATAAAATGTAGAACCAAATGGTTCAATTAAGTCCACGGGTCTTTCGAGGATGTTCGGTCTAGTAGACAGGGTGCGTCAGTTGTCGCATGGTCTTTGAAACGGTGATACCCTTGTTGCCAGGTTGAGGCAAGATCTCGCCATCAAATTCACTTTTGTCTAGACGTGACTGCAGAGTTGGCTTCTTTTGGTCGTCATTAATGGACTTGATGGAGCCTGTACAGCTGGGCACATCAAAAGCTCTCGCATCTGAACCTACAAGCCCCGAGTTCAAGTCCCAATGGTGGTTCTGGCAGACTCTATGTGACATAAAACAAGCAAGCATTCGTTTTGATTAGTCTTGGGCTCCTCGGGTCTCAATCTTACCCACATCAGCAGACCAGCTTTGCGACTGAAAGTAACTCTACTCCTCACTTTGGTATTGACGAAGCTGTTTGGACAAGGCCAGGGATGGGTTTGGAAATCTTTCTAAAAACCCATAGGATGAGGATTCTTCATACATTAACACTTGACATTTGCTCCCAGTTAATTCCCGCACTCATTTAGAATCGTATAGCAGATTTCCAATTCCTTGTCGGAGATGACTCTATTCATCGGCCCAAATTTAGCTTGTCGATAGG